ATGCTTTCTTCAAGCCAGGCAGACGGGACCACCCAGTGAAGTAAATGCCACCACGGCCTCAACTCTCAGCTCAGGTCTGGCTTTTAAAGCTCTTCCAGGGTCACCTCTGCTGCCCTCAGAACTCAGACACACACCAAATCCCTGCCCGCGCCAGCCAGCCACGACGGGCAGCGCTACAGCAACCCCCAGCTCCTTCACCCCAACTCCCCATACAGTACTCAGGATTATAAGTGCTTTGCATACATAATATGACGTCATGCATATACATTTCTATACGCTCAGGCCCTTGGCCCGGCGGAGATACCGTCCTCCTGCAGCACAGAGGTCCTTCATTTCGCGTAGGGCTCGTAGTGTGCATCAGACTCCGGCCCCCTCCTGCTTCAGCTGGCAGGCCCCGAGTCTGCCACAGCCTGTTCGGCTGCTGCCCAGGCAGGCGCTTGCGTGTGGTGGTGGTGGGGGTTCAGCAAACACCGGTCCTAGGTCAGCAGCTGATGATGAAAAGAACCGTATTTACAGAGCTCCAGTTGGGTTAATGTTTGTGGAGATTCACTGAAGACAGCTGGGAACAAGGAGCTGTGCGTCCCACGGATTCTGCCGGGAAAAAACTCGGGTACCAACATGGATTTCACAGCTTAGTTGGCACAATGAAGGCGAGAGATTCATCGCTAACCGGATCCTCCCTCCTCAAACAGCAACACTCAAGAGGTGGTTATAACACTAAAGGAACAAGACGGTGAGGTGGGGCACGGCCCAGAGCGGAGACCACGACCGAGAAGCCCCATGGAGGACGGGGTTCCTCCTTCCTAAATAAGTCTCTGCACGGAAGAGCAGCACCCCTCGTACCAGACACCACCGCAGCCTGCGAGGTCACCGAGGGAAGTGAGAGTGGAGGATGCACATGCTCAACTGAGCCTCCTCCTCTTCCTCCTCCAGCATCCAGGCAGGGAGCTCCTCACTCCGAGCTGGCAGCAGCTCAGCCAGGGCAGTGACCAACGCCGTAGCGCACCGAGGAATCGGGGATCTAGCTCTACAGTGATGCGTAGCGAGGCGACCTGCCAGCAAGAAGGGGATCTGATCTGCTTATCGGGGAAAGGGAAGGGGCTGTGCTCGCCCACAGCAATTCAATCACAACTGGATCCCACCTCCTAGAGGCTGGAGCACACTGGGAATCAAACAGCCCAGACTTTTTTTTTGTCCCATCAGCCAACACAAGTTTCAGCTACTGACCAAAAGGGACATCAGGAACGGTCACAGACATCTCAAGAGGCTCTGGAGGGGCAGGAGCACAGAGACTCAACTATACAGGGTGCAAGAGTCCAGAGCCAGAAAAGCAACGCCCTGGGGAGAAGCTGAAGGCAGCTGTTGGGTTGTGCACGGGCTGCTCATCTGGCTGGTGGCTGGGAAAGGACCGGGTGAGCCAGGGTGACATTCAGGGAGTCATTGTGCTGCACCAGGGACGTGTGCTTGTAGTGCAAGACCAGGTCCTTGAGGGAAGCGTAGAGGTTGTAGGGTTCAGCAAACCCGTAGCCGGTCGCCGTTTTGTAGATCACGCAGTGCTTGGTGTCACCATCCACCCTGCCAGGGAGACAAAGGAGCACGGGTCAGTGGCACACCAGGGACAGGGACAGCAGAGCACAAAAGTGTGTCACCACAACAGCCCAAAGATACATCTGGCTCTGGCAGGAGAAGGCGAGGCAGATGGGAGACCCCGGGGAAGCCCAGCCTGCCAGCTGACGCCTCCACCAGCCTCCAGCATCTGGCAAGAGAAGGGCAGAGCGATGGGGGAGCACAGCCCACGCCAACCCCATATCCCACCACGTCTGCTTGGGGGGTACTCACACCACGGAGCAGGCGTAGCATCCCTTCTGGCTGCTCTCGCGGATCAGGAAGGTGCCGTCCCGCTTGCCGCACAGCATCTCTTCTGCCTGCAAGCGGTTGATCTTCCCCACGTACCACGTCCGCTCCTCATGGTGGGGCAGCTCCTCCTCATCGTCCATCATGGAATACTGGCTGTAACCGAGCACAGGAAGGGTCAGACCTTCTCAATTTGGGCACATGGTCCCCACACATCCCTACCCACTGTTAGCTGCTGTCACCCCTTCCAGCAGGAAAGGCGTCCTCAGCTCCCAGGGAGGGAGATGGGACTTGCCCGCAGCCCCCGGAGCAGGGAGAACCATCTACACAGCCCCCCACATCCCACAACGCATGAGCAGGGACACTCACTCCTCCGTCTCGTTCTTGATGCCCAACCACTCGTTGATCTTCTTCTGCCGGGCACCTTTCTGTGTCAGCCACCTGGGGAAGGAGAGGCAGAGCTCAGAGCTCAGAGCTCAGCGCAGGCAGCGCGCCCGGGTTGCGGTGTCTGAGCCAGACACTCGTGCAGTCATCACCAGAGGGCAGCAGCCATCGCCTTTGAGGCACGGCCATGCCCTGAGGCTGCACAGGGCCCCAGGGCTCGCTGCTTCACCAGCCCACAAGCCCGTTTGACAAGCCCTAAAACCCTCAAGGAGGCAGCTGGATGGCTCCCGGGCTGGGCTGGAAGGGCAGCAGGGACCCGCTCCCAGGTCTCTGCCGGGACAGGCACTACATACACCAAGTACTGGTCCCGCAGTTTGCGCAGCTGCATGAGGTCTGGCTTCAGGCTGTTCATGCGCTTGTCGATCTCCCGGTTCTCCGAGGCTTGTTTCTTCAGATCCTGCTCCAGCTTCATCTTGCTGTCGTGGATCTCTGTGATGCGAGACTTGAGCTTCTCCGAGTTCATGAGGATCCTGGGAGAAGGAGGTGGAGGGAGGGGGGGGTTTAGGCTGCGAGCCAGAGTGGGGGAGGCAGAGGAGGCAGCCTGCCAGCTCCAGCCCACAGCACACTGCTGGAGAGACAACGACTGTACGTGCCTCAGCTCTCTGCTGGGCCAGGACCATCCTTCCAGCCCCCAGAGCCCTCCCCCAGGCAGGGCAGGTCACCACCACCCCTTGTCCTCACCGTTGCACCTCCTTCTCGTTGCCCTCCCGCCGGAAGCGCTCGATGTACTCCTTGCTGCATTTCTCCTGCGTCTGACACTGTTCCTCAAAGATCTTGATCGTTTCGTTGAAGGCCTCGATCGCCGTCCTCTTCATCTGCAGCTCCTGAAAAGGGAAGGGAGAGCTGAGGAATGGGGAGCATTTGTGCAGGTTTCTGCCCATTTACATCCCCTCCTTCCCCCTCCCCAAAGCAGCACTGTCCTTGCTGCAGCCAAAATATCCTCCTCTTCAAAGCCCCTTCTTTGGGGAGACCCCTCAAGTCCAGCAGCAGACAAATGGGGCAGTGGGTGCCCCATCTCTGCTCTCCTCTGTGCACAGCAGTGCAGCTGCCAGCAATCAGGGGAGGTCAGGGCAGCCCAGAGGGAAGGCAGAGCCCATGTACCTGGGAAGTGCGCGTGTACTCCTCGTACAGCAGGTCGTACTCCCAGCTCTTGTCCTGGTACTGCTGGTGATAGACCTTCAGCTGCTCCCCGACGGCTTCCACGCTGTCCTCTTTCACCACTTGGTCCTGCCATATGCACAGCCTGACTCAGGACATGTTCCTGCCCCACAGCAGCCCCTTGGCAAGGCAGCTGGTCCCATGAAACACCTTCAGCCCCCCATCACCCCATAAAGCAACATCCCAGCGTGGGGGAAGAGGTGGGACATTGTCATCTACCAAAGGATCAGTGATGGATGAGTAAGTGCCCCTGGTTCAGGCTGTGCTGACCAGCTGCATCCTGGCAGCACGGGCCTCACCTGCTGGTACTTGGAGATGGGGTAGAGCAGTCTGGTGTCCAGCTTGGCATTGTACTGGGCGAGCGACTCGTGCCGGTAATGGGTGATGAGCTCCACCACCGAGCCGAAAGTCAGGGGCTCTGAGAAGCCGTACTTCCCTTCCCGGTGGAAGATCTTGATCAGCTTGTTATTGCCACCCTTCCTGCGGTGGGGAGGAGAGAGAGGGGGGCACTGATCACCACCCTGGTCTGACATCTCAGCATCCAGGCAGCCACGAGCACAGGGACACGTGCTGACACCTCCACCCCAGAGCAGCAGAGGCTCTCGGGGGACCCCAGTGCTCTACCTGAGCGTGAGCGTGTACTCTCCCTGGATCTTGCTGGAGGCATCTCGCACCAAGAAGGTACCATCCGGCGTGTCCCGTAGCTTCTCGTTCACCTCCTCCCTGTGAGGAACATGATTGTCATCATGTGAGGTGTGAGGTGCAACCAGAGCTCCCCTAGATAATCTGATGGACAGGGAACCCAGGATGTGAGCTGCCCCTCACCCCCTTACCTGGAAATGTCACCCCAGTACCACTCGGCGTCCTGCAAGGGCACGCTGTTCCCGTTGGCCAGGCTGGCTGCACTGGGCTTTGGCTTAGGTGGTTTTGGAGGCAAGGCTGTAAGAGAAGGAGGGTTGAAGCAGGGTGAGCCCAAGTCCCAGCTCCCCACAGGTAATCCCGTGGGGCACTGAGTCCCCCCCTCCCTGCAGTGACCATCCTGGGAAGCCCCTCTTGGCCACCATGCTGCCAGGAGCTGCTCCAGGCACATCTACAGCAGCAGATGAGCACCTCGAGCAGGCAACCAGGCAGAGCTGGGCTACAAAAAAGCCCTCAGCAACCCACTCGTGGAGGCAGAGACTCCACACCCATGGAACACAAACGCCAGCGCCTCGGGCCCCAGGGAAGGGGCATCTCAGTACCTGGAGGCAACTGTTCTGGTTCCAACTCCTTCGTTTGCAGAAGTATCTCCAGAAACAGCACAGAGAAGTCAGGGCTCAGCTCTGGGCTGCAGGGAGAAGAGAAGCCAAGTAAGAAGA